CCTTTAGCTTCTGTAGCAGAAGGCCTTTAGCTTCTGTAGCAGAAGGCCTTTAGCTTCTGTAGGTGTCAGTGAATGCTCTCTCTGTTGGACTGCTCTGTGAACCCGGGGGTGAGACTGTTAAATCCTTTGTTTTGTCTGTTTGACAGTTGGTACGTTTTCCTGAAGCATCCTTCTGTGAGGTATTTAACAAAGACTGGTGTCATTGTGGACCCATTGATGATTACTTGTTGCCATGGAAACCTAGCATCTTCTCAAACATTGTTGTCAGGCATCCTGTGGACTGACTTTATTTAGTAAAAATGCCTTTTTAATAAGCAAAACAAAGAAATACAAGCCGAGATTTGTGGCTTGTCTGGGTGTGGACTGCATAACTGTGCCATCCATCCGTCCATTATCTTCCACTTATTCCTAAAGTGGGTCTCGGGGCAGCAGTTTGAGCAGGGAGGTCCAGACCTCTCTTTCCACATCCACCTCTTCCAGCTCTTCTGGGAGGACTCCAAGGTGTTCCCAGACCAACCGAGAGACAAAGTCTCTCCAGCGTGTCCTGGGTCTTCCCTGAGGTCGCCTCAGTCGGCCATGCCCAAAGCCCCTCCATAGGGAGGCGCTCAGGGAGCATCCTTACCAGATGCCTGAACCAGCTCAACTGGCTCCTCTCGATGTGGAGGAGCAGCGGTTCTACTCTGAGTTTCTCCTGATAGCTGAACTTCTCACCCTGTCTCTAAGGGAGAGTCCAGCTACCCTGTGGAGGAAACTCATTTCATCTGCCTGTATCTACGATCTCATTGGTTCAGTACCCAGAGTTCATGACCATAGGTCTTTCTTACCTTAAGCTGCTGTATTCATCCCCATCTGCTCACAACAGACTCATGTTCAGGCTGCTGTTTAATACACCATATTACATTACATCATTATTGTTTAGCATATATCTTAGATCCTTGCGTAGTGTTTCTTTTTATACTTTATATTTTTGCTATTTTTTTGTGTAACTGGGACTTTTAGTACACAATTTCGTTCCACCTCACGTACCACATGTGATGTGAATGACAATAAAGAACCTTGAACTAGGTGAGGGTAAGAACATAGACTGACCAGTAAACAGAAAACTTTGCCTTATTCAGCTCTCCTTTTACCACAACGGACCAGCACAGAGTCTGCAATACTGCAGACGCTGCACCAGTTACTTTTTGCACCAGTTATTTATTGCACCATTTACCAATTGCATAACTGTGCAACATACTAAAATGTCCACACTCATTTGAGCTCTTCTTGCTCTCCCCGCTGACAGAGTGAAAGGTTGCTGATCAGAGGAGGCCGAGTCGTCAATGATGACCAGTCTTTCTACGCAGACGTCTACATTGAGGATGGGCTCATCAAGTACGTGCAGTTTATGGACATTACTGGAGCGTTTTATGCTTCGTGCTGCAGAAGTGTTTCTGCACATAATTACAACCCCAGTCTGGAAAAAGTCATAAACCAATATTTTAGTCACATGAAACAAAGCTGACATGAAATGTTCAAGAAATTGTAGCAATATTTGATGTCAGCATGACATCTCTATAATGTGGGTCAGGAACAAGAAAAAGCTGTATAATTACGTTTTCCAAGTAAGAAACAGCTGGAGAAGTATTTTGCATGTACTTAGGGAACTTGGCAACGTCAGTAGGAAGACTAGGCATAAAAAGAGCATTTTAGAAAAGTCAAAACATCAGTCTGTGGAAAAGCAGCACCTAAAAATAGTAAAACAATTTCAGAATAATGTTCTTTAACAGAAAATAATATATAGTTTACAATAGCATCAGAATATTCAAACATCTGGAGAAATTATGTGCACAAAAAAACAAGGCTTAAAGATATTATATAGAAAATCACATTAAAAGACCCCCACATTAAAAACGTTACTAGAACCTCCTTCTTCCACCTGCGTAATATTGTTAAAATTAGAAACATCTCATCTAAAAATGATGCAGAAAAACTGGTCCATGCATTTGTCATGTCTAGACTGGACTATTGCAATGGTTTATTATCTGGGTGTCCAAATACTTCTTTAAAACGTCTTCAGTTGATCCAAAATGCTGCTGCCAGAGTCTTAACTGGAGTTAGTAGGAGAGATCATATTTCTCCAGTTTTAGTTTCTCTCCATTGGCTCCCTGTTAAATCCAGAGTTGAATTCAAAATCTTACTTCTAACCTACAAAACCCTCAACAACCTAGCTCCATCTTATATTACAAATCTTATTGTTCCATATTTTTCTAATAGAGCACTTTGCTCTCAGACTGAAGGTTTACTTGTGGTTCCTAAAGTTTCCAAAAGCAGAATGGGAGGAAGATCTTTCAGTTATCAGGCTCCTCTCTTGTGGAACCAACTTCCAGTTTCTGTCCATGAGGCTGACACATTGTCCAGTTTTAAGACTGGGATTAAGACTTTGTTTTGGATAAATCCTATAGCTAGGGTTGGCTTGTTATGCTGCTATAGACTTAGACTACTGAAGGACAAATTTACCTCATTTCCTTAAATGAATTGTTAAAACTAAATAGTTTTCATTTGATATTATTTTTATCTTAACATGCGATTCTTGACCTACCATTGTGTATCTGTTCCTCTCAAACCCAGCTGGTCGTAGCAGATGGACGCTGGTCCTGAACCTGGTTCTGCTAAAGGTTTCTTCCTCATGAGGGAGTTTTTCCTTTCCACTGTCGCCTTCATGTTTGCTCAAGAAGAGAGTTCTGTGATGGAGTTAAACTCAGAGCAGTCTGCTCCTCAGATAAATAATGTTAAATTATTATTTTTATTTACGAATGTTTCTGTTCAGTGCCCTGAGACGACTTCTGTTGAGACTTGGCGCTGTATAAATGAACTGAATTGAAAAGATCTTATTCTGTTACGGACATCACTGAACGGGCTCAGGAACACTTCTACGAATGTAAAACCTCGAGCACCACATCCTCTATGCTAAAGAGGATAGGGAATTCAGTTTGCTACCAGCACACAGTTCAGACACCTGCCTCTCTAATGGTATGGAGGTGCATTGCTCTGTTATGTGCAGCTTACACATCTGGAAAGGTACACACAGTTTTTAGAACAACATGTGATCTCATCAAATCTCATCTTTATTAGAAAGGCCTTACATTTTCAGCAAAACCATATTAAAGCTCAGAGTGCATCCTTTACAACAACATGGCTTCTCAGTAGAAAAGCGTGGGTGCTGATTTATCACCCATTAAAACATTTGGTGCTCTAAAAACTAACAAATCTCAGCTGGATGACCCAGGACTGTTGATGAGACAAGAACTGGACAAGATTCCCCTCCGCACACCTCAGCAGCTGCTCTCCTCACATCCTAAGAGGAGATGATGCACAGAGGCAGGACCTGTCCACTCCTTTTTAAAGAGTTTTGTTGCTGTAGAATGTAAAATGATCTTATTTATTATAAAAAAAAAAAAATAGAATAATGTCTTAGATATGTTTATTATGGTCCATTGTGAATAAAATTACGAGAGTTACAAATCATTGCTTTTATTCACGTTTAACTCATCCCAACTTTTTCCAGGATGAGTGTTATACATCCTCAATCACGTCTGTCTGCACGTGTCCTTGGCAGGCAGGTGGGGGAGAAGCTGGTTGTTCCAGGCGGTGTCAAGGTGGTTGAAGCCAATGGGCGCATGATAATCCCAGGGGGGGTGGATGTCAACACGTGCCTGATGAAGCCGTACCTCGGCACGCAGCCTGTAGATGATTTCCTCCAGGGCACCAAGGCAGCTCTCGCTGGGGGCACCACCATGATCAGTGAGTGTGAACGCTTAAAACATGTCCACATATAAGTTTGCTGTCACGCTCATGCACCTCCACCCTAACCTTTGCTCAGTTGATCATGTGACCCCCCAGCCGGGGGACAGTCTGCTGGAGGAGTTTGAACGCTGGCAGGAGGCTGCAGATAAAAAGGCTTGCTGTGATTACTCCCTGCACGTGGACATCCCCCTGTGGGATGAGGCGGTTAAGGACGAGCTGGAGGTGCTGGTGCAGGACAAAGGTATGCTTGTTTTTAGATGTAACGGTGCAGAACATCTGCTTCAAGTCCTCGTTTTTGGACACACCTGTGAAGAATGTCAGGGAGGGATTTCGAAACGTTTCGGGACGAGTCCTCTTACATCCCAAACAGGAGGAGGTTTACTGTTTGCACCATGAAGCTGCTGTGGCAGTGCTCAACGTTAAGCCTGTAATCGTTTTAAAGGAAAGACGAACTGTTTTCGTTTCGCACGGCTACAAAACACCAAGACATTACGGGCGTGACCAGTCTCTTTGTTTTCATACAGTCAGTCGTAGAAACTAGGTTAGAAAATGAACTTTGACCCAAACATGTGCCTCTGATGTCTTTTTTTTTATCACCGTCATGTTGAAAATGTTCATTTTCCCTTTCTTCTCAGGTGTCAACTCCTTCCAGGTGTATATGGCTTACAAAGATGTGTACCAGCTGACCGACTCTCAGGTGTGGTTTTGACAAACTGCCTAACCTTCATAATACAAGTTGTCCTGAGAATCTGTGACTGTGTGTTGCTTCCTCTCACTGTCAGTCTCTGATGTTCTGCAGCTGTATGAGGCCTTCTCCTTCCTGAAGCAGCTGGGCGCTGTGGTCTTAGTTCATGCTGAAAATGGAGACCTGATCGCACAGGTAAGAGGTGCAGCCTCCTGCCCTCAACCTTCACCGCAGCTGAGACATGTTCTTGTTCTGTAACCTGCAGTCGCTCAAAAGGAATAGGTCATTCATGCTGCTGCTGCAAACGCTGATGATGGCTGGTTTGTTTTTGGCTGACGTTACGGTGAACCCCTATTTTACTGGTGATGATGATGATATTATATAGGTTATATACAGGGTATTCACAGACAGTACATCATGAAATGCCAAAAGTAAAGTTATCATTTTAATGAAGCCTCAAAGCCTGGATCCAATCTTTATTTCATTCCAATCTACTGTCCTGAGCAGCACATTGGTGACAGTGGAAATAAATGACTCATTTTTAACAGGAAGAGACCTCAGACGGGGCCAGGCTCAGCCACCTGCTTCGACGGGCTGGGGTTTGAGAGAACAATAGAGACTCGGACAAACCCAGCATGGCTGGTCCAGATGTTGTTTCAATGGGAACACAATGGAAACCACATGTTAATAATAGAAACAATTCAACATTTTTCAGTCAGGTCATCTGGACAGTTTCTTTTTTTTTTTTGTGCTCAAACGTTTCGCCTTCGATCCAGAAGGCTTCATCAGTCAAGGAAACACACAACACAAAACTGATTCTTCCCCCAACAGCTTACTCCAAAGTGGAACAAACCAGTTCTGTTGGTGCTAAGATGGTATCTTTGGTACGCCCCCTCCTCCATTGCCGGCCCTCTTCCTTGTTGACAGTCATGTCAAACTGGTTGTTGTCTGACAGACTGTGCAGGTGACCTGACTGAAAAATGTTGGATTGTATACCTGGATTATTGAGCATGGACTTTGTTGTTAATAGAAACAATTATAAATACAAAGGATTATTTAATGTGGGGGTTAAATGACATATCCTGATAAAAATAACCAAGGTTTTTTACATTAGAGCTGGAGGCCAAACTAATGCAACCCAGGGGAACTAAAATGACGTTTGTTCCCAAGATGTTCAGGTTCAAATATCCCAACCACTGTCTTGTCTGAGTTTAAAAGTAGAAAATGAACAGTTGTCCAAGATTGTATGTCTTTAAGACATGCTTATAATCTAAGTAACTGATTGAATTCATTTGGTTTCAAGGACAAATATAACTATCATCAGCATAACAATGAAAATGTATCCCATGCTGTTTATTAACTTTACCTAATGGAAGCATGTACAAGGTAAAAAGTCTTGGTCCAAGCACTGAACCCTGAGGGACTCCATGACTAACTCTGGTGTAAGAATATGACTCCATATTAATATGAACAAACTGTCAGATAAATATGATTGAAACCATTTTAGAGCCGTTCATGTAATCCTAATATCATGTCCAATGCAACGTTTTTAATTGTTCAGAGAATCAATCCCAGACACCAAAGCATGATTTGTACAAGAGTTGTTTGATACTGAGAGTGACTGCTGAAAATGAAACAATGAAACGTGTGCTTTAGGAGCAGAAGAAGATCCTTGGAATGGGGATTAGCGGTCCTGAAGGCCACCCTCTGAGTCGCCCTGAAGAGGTGAAGTTATTTTATAAACATCCTCGCTGTTTAATCTTTTGTCTGACATACGTCAAATGTTTATTCTCCGTGTAGTTGGAAGCTGAGGCAGTGTTCCGTGCCATCACTCTGAGTAACCGCGTGAACTGTCCCGTCTACATCACAAAGGTGATGAGCAGGAGCGCAGCCGACACCATCACTCAGGCTCGGAGGAGAGGTAACTCTTCTCAGCGATGTTTACACTCGAGCTTTTCCAGTTCTTTGCGTTCCACCAGTTTGTTTTATGCTGGTGAAGGCAGCCTAACCATCATCCCATACAGGTGCTGTGGTTTTTGGGGAGCCAATCACAGCTAGCTTGGCAACTGACGGTTCTCATTACTGGAGCAAGAACTGGGCCAAGGCGGCTGCCTATGTGACCTCTCCACCCCTGAGTCCTGACCCCACCACCCCAGATCACCTCCACACACTGCTGGCCTGGTAACACATGAGCTTTTATTTTAAAATGTGCTGCGTTACTTAAAATCAGACTTTTATGACAAGATATAAAATCCTAAGTTCTGCTGGCATTTGTAGGATCCATCCTCAAAACAATGTTTGTAATTAGAGGCCTAATGTTCCTTAAAGAAATGTATATCACCCGCTACGTTTCATGCAAGAGTCATAAACTAAAATCATCTTACCTTGATGATAGTATGTGGTAGAGGACTACCATATCAAATTTTAGCTCGATAGCTGTAATATTAGGCGAGTTAAAGCCATTTTATATTTGCAAACTTTGAGTAGTTGTGGTGGCCATCTTGAACTGGGTTGACTCCAAAAGTAAATCAGTTGTAGCTGTATGTCTAATGATTATTTTGTGCGAGTTTCATCAAAATCGGCCCTCTGGTTCATGAGATATTTCGCTAACAGACAGTCATTCAAGCACAGACAAAAACATAATTGCCTATCTTTCACTTTTTAATAATTATTGCCTTTCTACACCACTTCAAGTGCTTAGTTCAACTAAAGCCTTAATGCAGTGTTAACAGTAAAGCACCTGGATGGCAGGAAAGAGACGCCTGCAGACATCAAAGTGTTGCTGTTGCCTTTTTGCACATAAAGCTGCTCTTCATGCTACAGACAGACACTGGTGCGACGCAAAATAAACGTCAGATCAGCCTCGGTGAAAAAGATAAACAGATGGTGGGAAGGTGAGAGCAGGACAAACGCAAGGTGAGGTGACAAAATACAAACGTGCAAACGTTTGGAAATAAATGTAAAACTAATCAACCGTACATGATAGTGGTTAGTTAGGATATTAACTAGTAATCTTATGGTAGTTAGGAGGAACATGGCTGAGTCTCACCTCAGACGTGCACACGCCAACCAGCCGTACACTGTCGACTGTCCTCGATTCCACAAATAGCACAAAGACCTGGAATAACTTATCATCTGTTGCCGTGGTTACAGAGTTCCTCCCTCCTCCTCTTTGCTCTTCTACACTTTGTCTAGAACTCCGCGCTGATGTAGAAGCTGCTGCTGACTGTGATCTTCTCCAGAGTATTTTTAGGATCTTCACAGAAACGTGGCCTTTTTGTCAACATTCAGTGAGAATCATCACTGCCATAATAAACCATCTCTTTGCATTAGGGTGATGATCACCCAGCTGAGAATAATCTGTATAATGAACGAGTGAATTATGGGATGAGAGATTATGATAAACACAACTCTTTATCAGTGTTGTTTATGGTGAGGGGTGAGTGGATGGATGTGCTGCTGGTGTTTTAATAAAGTGTTCAATCTTTCTGCAGCGGCCTCGTCATGACATGCACAGCTCTCAGAAACTAAGCAGCAGATGTAAATTTACAACTCATTAACTTTTCGAGTCGTCCTCATTCAAAATGGCCGCCACAACAAATACATAACATGTCTATAACTCAGTAAATGAACAGATATTTAGCTGCAGTTTGGTGTGGTAGTAGCTGATGCTGGTTCCCAACACATACTCTAAAAACCAAAATATTGTGCAAGATCTTTCTTTAAATTTTTATTATCAACTATATGGAGTCACCTCTGTCTGTCTGTTAGTAAAATACCTCATGAACCATTGAATGGATTTTAATGAAACATTCAGGGAAGAATCATTGGATGGACATCAGCAACTGATTAGCTTTTGGACCAAGTCTCTTTCAAGATGGCTGCCACAGCTAACCTATATAGACAACACAAAAATATGCTGTCATTTAGTATTTTTTACAACTATTAAGTTAAAACTTAGTTTACTTGTACCTGAGAGTTGTTTCAAACACATAGTCTGTGTGCTACTTATTACATAAGATCTTTGCTTTAAACTTTAGCATTGACTGTTGGATTCAGCCCTGTTTGTCTGTTAGCAAAATACTTCATCAACCACTGGATGGATTTGAATGAACTGTTCAGAAGATAATCGATGAATGAACATCTGCAGCTGATTAACAGTTGGAGTCAATCCATTTCAGTATTTCCCCCACAGCTAATCAAAATTGGCCAACACAAAATTAGATATACAGGTCCTTCTCAAAAAACTAGCATATTGTGATAAAGGTCATTATTTTCCATAATGTAATGATAAAAATGAAACTTTCATATATTTCAGATTCATTGCACACCAACTGAAATATTTCAGGTCTTTAATTGTTTTAATACTGATGATTATGGCATACAGCTCATGAAAACCCAAAATGCCTGTCTCAAAATCATCCCACCAATGAAAGACAAGTGTTTTTATTACAAAAAACGCCAACCTTCAAATAATCATGTTCAGTTATGCACTCAATACTTGGTCGGGAATCCTTTTGCATGAATGACTGCTTCAATGCGGCGTGGCATGGAGGCAATCAGCCTGTGGCACTGCTGAGGTGTTATGGAGGCCCAGGATGCTTCGATAGCGGCCTTAAGCTCATCCAGAGTGTTGGGTCTTGCGTCTCAACTTTCTCTTCACAATATCCCACAGGTTCTCTATGGGGTTCAGGTCAGGAGAGTTGGCAGGCCAATTGAGCACAGTAATACCATGGTCAGTAAACCATTTACCAGTGGCTTTGGCACTGTGAGCAGGTGCCAGGTCGTGCTGAAAAATGAAATCTTCATCTCCATAAAGCTTTTCAGCCGATGGAAGCATGAAGTGCTCCAAAATCTCCTGATAGCTAGCTGCATTGACCCTGCGCTTGATAAAACACAGTGGACCAACACCAGCAGATGACATGGCACCCCAGTGACTGTGGAAACTTGACACTGGACCTCAAGCAATGAGAATTCTGTGTCTCCTCTCTTCCTCCAGACTCTGGGACCTTGATTTCCAAAGGAAATGCAAAATTTACTGTAATCAGAGAAGATAACTTTGGACCACTCAGTAGCAGTCCCAGGCGAGATGCTTCTGATGCAGTCTCTTAATTCAAAAGTGGCTTGACCTGGAGAATGCAGCACCTGTAGCCCATTTCCTGCACACGCCTGTGCACGGTGGCTCTGGATGTTTCTACTCCAGACTCAGTCCACTGCTTCCGCAGGTCCCCCAAGGTCTGGAATCGGCCCTTCTCCACAATCCTCCTCAGGGTCCGGTCACCTCTTCTCGTTGTGCAGCGTTTTCTGCCACACTTTTCCCTTCCCACAGACTTCCCACTGAGGTGCCTTGATACAGCACTCTGGGAACAGCCTATTCATTCAGCAATTTCTTTCTGTGTCTTACCCTCTTGCTTGAGGGTGTCAATGATGGCCTTCTGGACAGCAGTCAGGTCGGCAGTCTTACCCATGATTGTGGTTTTGAGTAATGAACAAGGCTGGGAGTTTTTAAAAGCCTCAGGAATCTTTTGCAGGTGTTTAGAGTTACGTTGTTGATTCAGATGGTTAGGTTAATAGCTTGTTTAGAGAACCTTTTCATGATATGCTAATTTTTTGGGACAGGCATTTTGGGTTTTCATGAGCTGTATGCCATAATCATCAGTATTAAAACAATTAAAGACCTGAAATATTTCAGTTGGTGTGCAGTGAATCTGAAATATATGAAAGTTTCATTTTTATCATTACATTATGGAAAATAATGACCTTTATCACAATATGCTAATTTTTTGAGAAGGACCTGTACATCTGCCAATTTTAAAATGATCGAGCTAAAATTTTATCGTAACTGTAGCTGACACTTACGCACATACGAAAGACATATAGTGTTACTGTACCTTACATTATTTTTAAGGTTTGACTCAAATAGCTATTTTTTTTTTATTTATTTTGTCAACAAAAAGACAATCTTAAATTAAAACACTCGCGTGAAAGATGTTGAACGATACGCATTCCTTCAAGAACGTTGAGTTTGGTTTCTGACCTTGCATCCTGCAGTCAAAGACATTTGAGACTGTGCAGTGGACAGGGCAGTGACTGCAGTGTCCCTCTGTTTGCAGTGGGGACCTGCAGGTGGTGGGCAGCTCTCACTGCACCTACAGCACCGCCCAGAAAGCAATCGGGAAGGAGGACTTCACCTTGATCCCCGAGGGAACCAACGGGGTGGAGGAGAGGATGGGTTTCGTCTGGGACAAGGCCGTGGTGAGCACTGAGCGTGTGTATCTTCTCTGAAGTTGTTCGTTTCTCTGCAAATTTATTGCTATTGACTTGTTTGTCAGGCCATGGGGAAGATGGACGAGAACCAGTTTGTTGCGGTCACGTCAACCAACGCAGCAAAAATCTTTAACCTGTACCCACGCAAGGGTCGCATCGCCGCAGGCTCCGACGCTGACATAGTCATCTGGGACCCCGACAGCGTCAAAACCATCACTGCCAAACTCCAGCAGTCGGTGAGCAGACAGGACAAAGAGCAGAGGGAAACAGGAACTGATGAGACAAAGTGAAGGTTTACATTGTGTAGGTCGCGATTAAAACGCAATACGGCAAGATGTTAACTTTTTGCATTTGTAAACCAAACGAATAGTTCAAATCTGTTGATGGGGCTCTGTGCAAAGGTTATGAACAATTAGTATCTTACCTGTTGTAGATAGCTCTTTTTCTGTGCACTGACATGTATTTGAAAGTTAAACAAATATACATTTTGTTCAAATCAGAATTCTAAAAGAGGCAATTCATCACATAACCATGAGTAAACCATAAAATCAAGAAGTTGATAAACAACACAAAGAACAGGTAAATATAAGAAAAGCTCCAAAGCAGAAAGAATCGACTGTTTTGAAACGTAACCCTCCTGAGATAAGTTATGGTGTTCCTAAAACCAGTGTCATGAGCATCACAATCATCTGTTTGTTTGTTTGTACTAAAACAACCTTGTTTTCCATGTGTGTGTGTTAATGACACACGTCATCATCCAGAACAAACTTTTCTACGAGTCCAGGAAAGATGATTAACAATTAATATCTTACCTGTTGTAGATAGCTCTTTGAATGACTTCAGTTTGAAGAAAACGTTTAATTCTGGCCCGATTGATGAGCAAACAGATGGACTAAGCAGGGCCAAGACAAGAAACAAAACATATTTTATCTTAAAACTACTAAAGACTCAATGATCTTGTAGATTTAAGAGAAGTGATCCACTGTGGTCTTATAGAACTAGCCGTTAGCTTGTCAGTCCTGTTAAAATAAAGTCTATTTCATCAAACTGAGGCAGTTCAAGGAGCTATCTACAGTTCAAGGTCAAGGTTTTTATTGTCATTCGCATCACGTGTGGTACATGAGATGGAACAAAATTGTGTACACAGAGTCCCAGTTAGTCAGAGTCAGTCAGAGACAGAGTCAGAGTTTCTTTATTGTCATTCGCACCTCATGTGGTACATGTGGTGGAGCGAAATTATGTACACAGTCCCAGTTACATCCAACAGTAAAATGTATAAGAAAAACAGTAATAACATCTAAGATATGAACTAAGAAAAACATCAACTAAATATACACTAAGCACTCATGACATAAAAACATTGAACATCAGCACAAACATGAACATGAGTCTGTGAGCAGATGTGCATGCATGAACACATCAACATTGAAACAGATCAGCAGCAACATGAAACAGATCAGCAGCAACATGATATGGTTTTTCACAGTGATTATTCTAGTTAGAGATTCATGAGTCTAACAGCCTCAGGGTAGAAGCTGTTCCTCAGTCTAGTGGTTCTACACTTAATGCTCCTTAACCTCCTTCCTGAGGGGAGTGGGGCAAAAAGTGTGTGTGCTGGGTGAGTGGGGTCCTTCATGATGCAGGTGGCCCTCTTCCTGCATCTGGAGGTGTAGATGTCTGTGATGGTGGGGAGGCTGATTCCAACAGATTTCTGTGCAGCCTTCGCCACTCTCTGCAAAGCTTTTCTTTCTGCAGCTGTGCAGCCTCCATGCCACACATTGATGCTCGAGCACAGGATGCTCTCCACTGCACACCTGTAGAAGGAGGTGAGGACTGAGCTTCCCAGACCAGCTCGCCTCAGCCGTCTGAGGAAGTAGAGTCTCTGATGAGCTTTCTTGATCAGGCTGGTGGTGTTGTTGCTCCAGCTGAGGTTGTCATTCATGTGTACACCCAAGTACTTGTAGCTGGAGACCACTTCCACCGCAGATCCTCTTATGTTCAGGGAGGTGTAGATGTTTTTGTTCCTTCTGAAGTCCACAATCATCTCCTTTGTCTTCTTCACATTGATGTGAAGGTTATTCTCTCTGCACCAGCTCTCCAGGTGTTCCACCTCTTGCCTGTAGCTGGACTCATCATTGTTTGTGATGCATCCCACCACCGCTGTATCATCTGCAAACTTTACAATGTGACAGCCTGGATGGGTAGCTGCACAATCATACGTGAGCAGAGTAAACAGGAGGGGGCTCAACACACATCCCTGAGGAGAGCCAGTGCTGAGAGTTATGGTGGAGGAGGAGAAGTTGTGGATCCTCACTAACTGTGGTCTGTTTGTTAAAAAGTCTAGTACCCAGTTGCAGATGGAGGGGCTTAGTCCTAGTGTGGATAGTTTGTCCATCAGGGTTTGGGGGATCATGGTGTTGAAGGCGGATGTGAAGTCCACAAAGAGCATACGGACGTAAGAGTTTTTCTGCTCCAGGTGGTTGAGCGCAGTGTGGACCACAGAGGAGATGGCATCCTCTGTTGATCGGTTCTCACGGTATGCGTACTGATGAGGGTCCTCGTTGATGTTGATGGTTGTTTTGATGCGAGTCATGACCAGTTTTTCGAAGCATTTAGCGACAATCGGGGTGAGGGCCACTGGCCGATAGTCATTCAGACCAGTCACTGTAGAGCTTTTTGGGACTGGGATGATGGTGGCAGTCTTCAGGCAGGTGGGAATTGTCTCCAGGGTAAGTGAGGTGTTAAAGATGTCTGCCAGCACCTCGCAGAGCTGATCGGCACATTCCTTCAACACTTTTCCGGGGATGTTGTCTGGGCCAGTTGCTTTGTGCGGATTAATCCTCCTGAAAGTACTCCTTACTTCTGCTGAGGTCACGCTGAGATGCTCTTCATCCAGTGGTGAGGTGAGTCTGGTGCTGGGTGGTCTGTTCGGGTCTTCAAAGCGTGCATAGAACTTGTTGAGGGCATCAGGCAGAGATGGGTCTTTGGGGCATTGTTCACTCCTTCCTTTATAATCTGTTATGCACTTAATGCCCCTCCACATGCTCCGAGGGTCTTGTGAGATGAATTGACCCTCGATCCTCTGTGCATATGTGCCCTTGGCCCTCTTAATACCAGCAACCAGCTCTTTTCTTGTCCTACTCAGCTCCTCTGAGTTTCCAGACCTGAAGGCAGTGTTCCTGGCTTCCAGCAGGGTACGCACCTCTGCATTCAGCCAAGGTTTTCTGTTTGGGTAGCTTTTAACATTTCTGATAGTGGAGACGGTTTCAGTACATGTACTAATGTAACCCAGTACTGAGGATGTGTATTGGTCAAGATCAAGCGAACCTCCATTTTCAGCAGCTTCTCTGAAAACCTGCCAGTCTGTTGGGTCAGTTACACCCAACAGTAGCAAAAACATAAATTGTAAAAGAAACAGTAGACAAGGATCCAAGATATTAATTAAGAAATACGCTAAACATTAATAGTACAAAAACAATACGCCAAACAACAGCAGCACGAACATGAGTCTGTGTGAGCAGATGAGTACGAATGAACACAGCAGCATGAAATAAATCAGCAGCTTGAGATCAGCAGCATGGATGATCAGACGCACATATCAACAATCAAAGTGGCATTACAGTGATTTTTTTTCTTCACGGTGATGATCCAGATTAGGGATTTATAAATCCAACAGGTTCAGGGTTAAGGTTTACAGCAGGTAAGATATTAATTATGGTTCATAACCATACATAGCCCCACATGAAAAAGTCTGAACCACTGCATTCGTTTAAAACCACTGAAATGCTGAAATATGACTTTAAGTGAGACCTCCATTCAGGTTTTCTCCACCACTTTATTTAAAATATATCTCATTTCTTGTATGAGCGGCATTTGAAAACAACACTACGGATTTCTGTGTTTTCAGTGAAATGTTCGCTTTAATACAAAATGATGCTTGATTTTTGACAAAAGACGATTATTTTGCTTTAGAGCAGCAGCCAGATTTAAAAACAAAAAAAAAAAAATAACATCTTGACAAGGTGACACTACAGATAAATGCAGTTTGAATGAAGCTTCTTTGTACAATTAAAATGTTAATTAAAATTCAGAACCCCCTCAGAGGTTCAATTATGCCTGAGGTGATGTGATTCGATGCAGTTTTTTAAGCTGTTCTTGATCTGCTGTCACTATTCTGTTCAGCCATCTTGAATTTATCCCCCTGCCCTCTAAATGCCCCAAACGTCCCAGTTATTCACCCCCACCATCATTTTGCACCAACTATTAAGCCCCGTAACTAAACGGCTTCTCTCTGCATAATCCCCCTTTTCTGCCATTCTTCTCCGTCTCTGAACAGGCTGCAGAGTACAACATCTTTGAGGGCCTGGAGTGCCGCGGTAGTCCAGCGCTGGTGTTGAGCCACGGTCGGGTCGTTTTCGAAGGGGGCAAGCTGCAGGTCCAGCAGGGAACGGGTCGATTTATTCCACGCAAGCCCTTCCCTGACTACGCTTACCAACGTGTCAAAGTCAGGGATCAGGTGGGGAGTACGGATGAGTCATCATCACATTTCTAGAACAAAATACCATATTTTTCAGACTATAAGGCGCATTAAGTGAAACAAAACAGTCAGATCAGTCAAACTTTATTCAACTCTTCCACAAGAACTCAACATTGTTCAGTTGTACCACATAAAGTCAGTTCGAAGTCATGAAGCACAACCAGAATGAATACATAAGGCGCACTGTTAATTTTTAATAAAAATAAAGGATTTTAAGTTGACCTGATAGTCAGAAACATACGGTACATGTTCAGAAATGTTGCGCACTGCGTTGACGACAGAGTGACTTGACCGATGAGCCACGCTGAACAGTTGTGAGACGTCCTGTTAAAACGTCTCCTGGTTTTATTTAAAACACGCTCCAGTTCTCTCTGTGTTGCAGAAAATACGAGCAAACCTTTGAGTTTCTGACCAACACAAGCAGCAAATCTTGTTTCACGTCTGTCAGGTGAAGCAGAAGCAGGGTGTCACTCGAGGAGCGTATGACGGCCCGGTGCACGAGGTTCCTCCAACCCCCAAATACATCACTCCTGCTCCATCAGCCAGAACGTCCCCCACGTCCCACCAACCACCACCCATACGCAATCTCCACCAGTCCAACTTCAGCCTGTCAGGTAACAGAAAGGAGACGTTTCATGACTGAACATAAAGGAGCCTTTAAGGCAGTGTTGTAATGTAACAAAGTAGAAATACTTTGTTACTGTACTTAAGTAAAATTTTGACATATCTTTACTTCGTTGTTTGCATTTCTAGCGACTTTTACTTTAACTCCACTATATTTCCTAAGTAAAATGTGTACTTTTACTCCAATGCCTTTCCCTTAACCATCTTAGTTACTCATTCCTACAATATAAAATTAGAATAATCTGACTGGGCAATGCCTGTTTGTTCTCCCAGTCTGTGACTTCATGCGGCCCCTTCTCTCTCCCTCACTGACTCTCACTCACAAACCCAGCCTCTCCCCCACCGCTTGTGTGCAAACTGCTGCTCCTCCTGTGAACAAGCTAGATGCATATGCAGATATTATCGTCACAGTTGACTCACAGTGGAGCCACTGTAAATTCCTGATAGGTGTGAAAACGATGGTAGCTGTTAAAAAGGAGAGGTTTGGTGTTCTCCAGGACATGAACCGATTAGAGCCGCAAGGTGAAGTTGTCAGGCCACTAGTCTTCCCATTGAAGAACACGGAGACAGATATCCAGTTTAGGATGATTTATTTGCTGTGTTTCTTCTGGTATTTACACAGCCGTAAACCAGTAAAGCACAAACAAGCTTGAACAACAAGGCTCCGTCCATGTCAGGAGAGAAAAAAAAACAACAACTCCGTCACGTTACACAGAGCGGTGCGTTCACTAAAGTTGGAACAGCCATGGTGCATTCAAAAGCATAGGAACTATTATATTCAGAACGAAACAAGCCATAAAAGCAGAACCTCAGTAAACAAACCAACTACACAACAATGTGGACTTTCTAACAGCTTTGTTAATAAAGGTTAATAAAAGTTGAATACTTCAATTTGAAAAGATCAATCGTTCATTTTTCAGTTCAAACTTTCCAAGTTTTTGTCACTGGATATTGCACACGATAAATGTTGTTTTGGGAATTCTAACCATTTACTTTTACTTAATATTCTTACTTTAAGTACATTTTATATGAGAAATTTACTTTTGATACTTAAGTACATTAAATGTCAGATACTTCAAGACGTTTACTTAAGTAATAATTTTAAAGTAGACTTTTAACTTTTACCAGAGTAATTTTATGGTAAGATACTTGTACTTTCACTGAAGTATCACTTTGAGGTACTTTATACAACACTGCTTTAAGGTCCTGAACACTCATCTAAAAGATGACTTTGTGTTTTTTCGTCAGGTGCTCAGATTGACGATAACGTCCCTCGTAGGTCAGGCCACCGCATCGTAGCTCCGCCTGGCGGTCGCTCCAACATCACCAGCCTCGGCTAAACCGCACACAAACTTTCTGCTGCTTTGGTCGATTCTGAGCGAGTCGACGTGCACGAGCGGCATGAACGAACACCTGTTTGTTTTATGTTAACGTTGATGCACTCCTTTTAATCAGCTAGGCTTTCAAATTAGAGTACGGTGAGGTATTAGGGACACACCGGAAACATAAATAAATCCAGGAAGATGATGTTTCTGTTTGTTTCCCAGTTTTGAGCTTCAGTGAAGAGATTAATGTTGAAACATTATTTCCACAACGTTGAGAACGGAAATCATTTTTCAAGACTAAACTGGAAGAAAGGAACCTTGTTGAGCTCCTGAACTTCATGAAATTGGTTTAATTTATTGTTCTTATTGTAACCAAGGGTTCCGAGTGCACTTTCACTGGGCGAGCTACAGAATAACAAGCAGTCATTTATTAAAACCAGTCCAAGGTGCAGCAGAACTCTTTCAATCCTTCACATTAAGAGTCTCGAACACATGCACTGAGTGTTGGCTTCCAGATAGTTGTAAAATTCTCCGTGTTCTGGTCTGCAGGAGCGTTTACTCATAAATGGTCATGTAAGCTGTTTTTGAAAGGTCAGCTGAAGTTAGCACTCAGTGTCTGTGTTTGAGACTCTTATTGTGAAGGATTTGAGCAGCTTCTGTGAGTTCTGCTGCAGCACGAGTATTAAACCTCACCTGGAACTGACCAAAATAAAAACAACTTATTTAGTAGTTTGCCTGTTAAAGTGCACACATAAACCAAAATCCCTGTTACAAATACAGCCAGGTTAAGAAGCATGATGGGGTTGACTACGTCTGGTATTATTTTGAAAGGCGGCCTTTTTCTCAACATTCAAGCTTTTTCTGGTGATAATATTCAGATTTTGATCTCAAGATCGTGACTAAAATGATACATCTGGAAACAAAATACAAAATGTTATAAAATAATCCTCTGATTTTAAATATTCTGGGTGTTCCTAATACTCCGTCGCATTAAGTGGGTTTAAGATTATAGTTAAAATAAAAAGTGTGATTTACAATCATCCAAAACAATCAAAGTTGAACCATGTTCAACCTAAGTGTTTGTTCTGAACGTTTTTATCCTCACTCTTCCTCACCTCTGCTCAGACATGGTGCTACTTCACTGCCACCTGGTGGTCAGATACAGACATGACAAGTCCATGCTTCTAGTTTTAGCACAGATTTCAGTGTGATGCAGATAGATCAGTTAGACACGCTGCATGGACAAATCTTAGCATGTTGCACTAATTGTGATCAGCTGTTGGAGCATCGGAGCACCTCAAACTGCACTTCATGCACGTCTGTGTCCAACAGCACAAATATATATACCAGCACGCACGTGTTTCTCAATATATAATGACTTGCACATATCACATGAAGCCATGAAGATGTAACTGCAATAACAGCTTTGTGCGTGTCCTCCACCAGATACTTCATGAAAATGTGTCCTACAGTAAAATGTGATAATAGATCTGTATCTGACTGAAATGAACTCTAGAATCCAGTTGGAGATCTTCAGAACAGGTTCTGCACAGCAAACGTCTCAGTGTCAGAAGCATACATTGATCTTGTTTGTTGTAAAACTCTGAGTTTGCTGCTGTAACGCTGCTTCAGCTGTATGAAACTTCACTTTTAATCTTTTGAATGTGTTTTGCCCTTTTATTTAACTCAATCTTGTGTTTTTTTATTTTTATTTTCTTACATTCTGTGTTTCTGTACTGCTCTTCTGTCCTTGTGTTCTGGTGTGGACCCACTAATTATTAATAAAGGTTTAACTTGTCAAAAACATGATAGAAAAACAAGCTTTCTTATGGGGTTAATTCGAGCCTCTTAGTGTTAATTGTAACTTTTCAGCTTTTCATTAAAGATGGGGTTTCAAGGTCTTTGAATGGAATCGGCTCTTCAGAATCTTTTTTTTGTTTGTTTGTTTCAAAGAGCTGTTTAATTTTGAACCGTTCGTCATGTCTGATGTCAGACTCATCCATCACTGTGGTTTGGCTCATCCACAAAACAGGACAAGTCCATCAGGTCTGCAGAGAGGACCATCAGGGCTGACCTTCCCTCCATCCAGGACTTGTACATGAAAATGTCCGGTAACATCTCTGCAGACATCACATCCTGGATACAAACTGTTTAGACTTTTACCTTGAGGCCGGTGCTACAGAGTACTATTTACAACAACAACACAAGAAACACACCAGAGTTTCTTCCTGTCCGATGAACGCAATAAACACCTTACAGTCGTCTACTCTGCTGTGAAACTAAATAAGAATGTTTGCACTACATGCACATGCTGCTCTTTTTATCATTTATTCTATTTCATCCATGTTTATATTTATTATACTTGATGTGTGTACACTGTGAGGACTTGAAACCAAAGTCCACTTCACACAAGCTTGGCCAATAAAGGAGGTTCTGATGTCACTACATATGGCCCACGTCACATGCGACGTAACTCAACTAAGGTTGCATGACTTGCAGGTGCGTGACCCCATGTCCTCCTGAGTGCACGTCCCCCATTACAATAATTGCTGTGCTCCTTTCTTTTTCCTGGAAATGCAAGGGAGGAGCGTCTGAGGAGAAAAACAAGAATGTCTCTCAAATATCTGTAACTCTTTTCCCATCGTTCATTTAGAAGAGCGTTCAAAAGATTCAGATTGTTCATGAACGTCACATCTCTACTTTTGACCCACAAACAAAGACTCATCCTGACTGTTGCTGACTGGACTCTACAAATGTTGCTAATAGACATTTAACAAAAAGACTAAATTTATTAAATGATTAATACTTTTAAGATGCCAAAGTTTATGCTCAATAATCCAGGTATAAAATCCAACAATGTTCAGTCAGGTCAGCTGGATGTTTTTTTTTTTCTGAGACATTTCATCCAAAGGATTTCTTCGATCCCAAGATGATCTTTTGGGGTTTCTTTGTTTTTATCCTCATGCTGAAGTTTTTGGCAAAGATCTTGTGCAATTAGTTGCACTGGAAACTATACTTTCTAATTTTTATGTTGCTTAAAAGTTTAGTTTCCTCAAATGATTAGGGTGTCCAAAGATTATTCTACAGTATGTGGGCCAAGGCCACCAGTGGCCACCCTCTGGCTCCTACATTGCATATGGTGGTGGATAAAACTGGTTCCTCCAGGATCTGCCACTCTGCATCGCTGTGGACAAGAAAAAAAACAAAAAGCTCCCTCTGTTCTTCTCCACAGTGTAACTCCTCCCCACTTGAATATTTTGCACCAGAAGCATTAAGGTTCACGCCATTCCCTGTTCAGTTCCAGTCCAGAAAAACACTCATCTCGAAAACTACTAACATTCACTACAAACCCGTCAACGATGAGGGACATGGGTGTGCAGCTTGTTTAGTCTATTTTGTTTGCTTTCACATTTCATGAAACATGAGTTCAGTCTTTCTGTTTTACAAGTTAACAACCCCAAACACCCATCCTTGCTGCGCTCCGTGTGTGTGGAGGGCGACAGCAGTCATATTCCTCTGTTCAACACTTTGATCTGGAGAAAGACGTCTCAGCCTCTTATTGATTTACGTCCTTTGGAGGATGAAGACTTGTGCTCACTGAACTTATCAAACTGAAAAGCTGTAGCCCCCGAGGGTCCACACTCACATTACACCATATGATGCATTTGGGAAAAACTACAGAAAACAGACGTGTTTCAACTGTATGTCAAGTTTCAGAATCTAAAATACAGTAAATTATTTATCATCAAACTAGAGAAACTCATTACAATGATAGTTTAAAAACAAATGCTTTTAAAAAAAAGTTTTACATTTGCTTTGAATTACTTGTATATTCTTGTTTATGCTGTACTGGTGTGGAAACTGCCCATGCCTTAGGCACTAATGCACAGCCATACCATCAGAGAGGCTGATGACAGGCTGGCTGGTTCAGTTTCAGTGTAGTACATGGGATGTGGTGTCCATGTTCTCCAATGAGAACATCAAACTGTTTAACCACACAACAGTGTGCCTCAGTGCACTGTCAACGAGAGCAGACAGCAGTTTCTGGAGGGGTTCACCTTTAATCAGTGTCTTTAACTGTGTTTCCAGACAGTGATGTGTGGAAGTGTTCCTGATGCTGTGTAGTCATGTCCAGAACACAATCAGACTTTTTTTTAATGATGTGCTGTCCCAGGACCTAAAGATTACTGACATCCAATACTGACTTTCAGCCTCGTCCTTTGAGCTCAGAGATTTCTCCAGTTTTGCAGGATCAGTAAAGTTCTATCTCATCAGAATCAGAAGAATCAGAAGCAGCTTTATGATCATTGCACCGAGATACAACGAGAACATGTACGTACAGTCGTCTGAAAGATGGACAGAGTGCATGAAGCTGCTACTATAAAAAGTGCGGCCCTCTTATTCTTATTCAGAATAATATTTTTGCTTGGATGAGAAAAGGGAAGAAAATATGAGGCGAGATGGTATAAAAAATCATTATATTATTATTTTACAAACTTTAGACATTAGAATGTTTAGCATCTTCCCTTTATCTCCAGTGTGAAACATTATTTTGACTTTTTTCCGCCATTTTTAGACACAGTTTTACTAGAAAGCCTCTTAAATTCAGATAAATTCAGAAAAATGTTATTTTTACACCGAATCCTCTTACTGTTTCCAGTAAAACTAAAATGTTGCAGTGTTCCCCCAGCTCTTTCTTATTTATAGCTTTTAATTTTACAGTTTTGTATTATCCCAAAACATTTTTTTATGTTTTGCTGCCATTAAAATGTAAAAAAAACAACAACATTTTCTAGTAAAAAAAAATACAATTTCTCAGTTGAAACATTTTATATGTTTTCTGTCTTACATTTGAATAAAATATGGATTCATAAAAATTGAAAATTTATGTAGATTGTATTTATTAATTATTACATATATTATTAATTGGAGTTGCAAAATTGTTGAAGATTTTTTTTTTGAGTTTTTGGAGTTTACTCCAGTCAAATAATCAGATGTTTGATTACTTTCAGCAACCAAGTTTAATTAAAATCATTTTAGAGGTCCATAAGATATTTTGCTAACACTGCAGACTAATGTGCACACAGACATACATGGGCAACAACCCCATTCAAAATTAATAATTAAATAAATAAATGATAACAAAAAACATTTTTGTCTTCAGCTTTTGGAGGCAGGCAAAATAAAAAAGTATACATTAGTCAGACTAAATGCTAATATTTGTAATTTACATTTTAAACATGATTTGGCAGAAAAAGCCTGCAGATTTCTTGGGATTCCTTTAAGCTTGGCTCACGTTTCCTTCTGAAGCAGGTCCAACTCTTTTTGCTGCTGCTGCTGGAATCAGCGAAGCGTCTGCTGGTTGGCCAGGTCGCTCCAGTGCACTTCTATTTTAGAACG